GGCGGCGGGACTGCAGGATAGAGTTCCAGAGGGTGGGGGCATCAAGTCCTGGATGAGAGCTAACTTTCTACAGTTGAACGTCAACAAGACCAAAGTTCTCCTGATTGGCTCTGTCAGCGCCTCCACACCTCAGGCACTGACAGTATCACCATCCATGGTTGTCCACTCCACTTTGCTAAGCCAGTCCGTAAACCTTGGCGTCAACTGTGCTTTCTACCCCACGTCCATGCCATGAACCGCTCTGCCTTCCCCCACCTCCGCAATATCGCCCGGCTCCGTCACTGTCTCACACCTCAGGCCACTGAGACTCTCATCCACGTATTCCTAACATCATAACAGTTAACAACAACAACAACTTATATAGCACTCCTGACATATAGCTTTATTTATTAGTTTAGACAAGAGCCCAACACATTAAATAATCAGAGCGATTAAAGTGCTTTGAGATGTCTCAAAGACATGAAGAATGCTATATCAAATGCAAGGATTATTGTATATTATTATCTAGGCTCGACTTCGACTATGCAAACTCCCTGCATATCGGCCTTCCCAACTCCTCCCTCCGTAGGGTGCAGATCATCGAGAACTCTGCTGCCCATGTCCTCTCCTGCACTAGGCTCCGAGACCCTATAACCCTCATCCTTGCCCAACTCCACTGGCTTCCCACCACACAGAGGATACAGTTCAAGATCCTGGTCCTCACCTTCAAAGCCCTCCATGGTCTTGCTCCCCCCTACCTCTGCGACTTCTTAATCCCCTTCCAACCTGCTGGCTTTCTCCGCTCAGCGGGCACTGGCCTGCTTCATGTCCCCCACTTCGCCCCCCACACCATTGGCGGGCTTGCCTTCAAACTCTGCCCCCACCCTCTGGAACTCCATCCCTCAGTCCCGCTGCCTCACCCCCTCCCTTGTTTCCTTCAAGACCCTTCTCAAGACGCTTCCCTTCAACCGTGCCTTCAGTCACCCTCCTTCTTCCCATTTTCCCTGATCCTGACGGTAGGAGGCCGGAGGAGACAGCGCAGAAGGGAGGAGGGGGTAATGGCAAAACAGACGGTAATTAGGAAACGTCGGAGACAGAGAAAAGGAACGGGATCGGGGGGACAGCGACCGGGAGGCGGGTTCGAGGCCGAACGGTGGCAGTGAGGGGGCCAACTGAGCAGCTGTTCCTGCGCCAGGTTAGTGCGGGGGCCGGGGGTCGGTCCGGGGGTTGAGGGCCAGGGGTCAGGTCGGGGGCCGGGGGTCAGGTCGGGGGCCGGGGGTTGGAGACTGGGGGCCGGGGGTCGGTCTGGGGGTGGGGGGTCGGTGTGGGGGGGGTCGGTGTGGGGGTGGAGGGTGGGGCCGAGTCGCGCCCTCCAGTGGGTTCAGGGGCAGCGCCGACATTTCAAAATCTCCCGCCACAAACTCCCCGCGTGACGTCATTTCGGCGCCAGGTTTGAATGGAACCGATCAACAACAACAACAACACAATGACACGTGTAAAGCGCCTTTCACGTCGGGGGGACGTCCCCGGGCGCTGGGCAGACAGAGATATGGACCCGAGATGGGGGTCGGGATCAGGGAGGGTGGAGGGCGGGGCGGGGGGGAAGCAGGGAGATCGAAGAGGAGAGTCTTGAAGGGGACGAGGGAGGGGGAGAGGCGGAGGGACTGGGGGATGGAGTTCCAGAGAGTGGGGGCAGAGTGGCTGAAGGCCACAGGAATGTCTGTTCGACATCAAGTCCTGGATGAGAGCTAACTTTCTACAAATGAACCACAAGAAGCCCGAGGCTCTCCTGATTGCTCCCATCAACGCCTCCTCATCTCAGGCGCTGACAGCATCACCATCCATGGTTGTCCACTCCACCCTGCAAAGCTAATCCGTAAACCTTTACGTCTCGTTTGATCCTCAACTGTCCTTTCCACCCCACGTCCGTGCCATGAACCGCTCTGCCTTCTCCCACCTCCGCAACATCGCCCGGCTCCGTCACTGTCTCACACTGTCTCAGGCCACTGAGACTCTCATCCACGTATTCCTCACATTATGACAGTTAACAACAACAACTTGCACTTATATAGCGCTCCCCACACCGGGCGATGTCTCAGAGCGCTTAAGCACTTTGAGGAGTCTCGAAGACATGAAGAATGCTGTATCAAATGCAAGGATTATTGTATATTATTTAGGCTCGACTATGCAAACTCATTGCTTGTCGGCCTTCCCAACTCCTCCCTCCATAGGCTGCAGATCATCCAAATCTCTGCAGCCCGTGTCCTCTCCCACACAAGGTTCCATGACCCTTGAAACCCATTCTCACTTTGGCTCCACTGGCTTCCCATCACACAGAGGATACAGTTCAAGATCCTGGTCCTCACCTTCAAAGCCCTCTATGGCCTCACTCCCCCCTAAATCTGCGACCTCCTAACCCCCCTACCAATCTGCTCGCCTCCTCCGCTCAGCGGGCTCCGGCGTGCTTCATGTCCCCTACCTCTCCTGACCCACCATTGGCGGGCGGGCTGGCATTCAGCCACTTTACCTCACCCTCTGGAACTCCATACTGTAGTCACTCCACCTCGCCCCCTCCCTTGCCACCTTCAAGACATGTCTCAAATCCCTCCTCTTTGACCATTCCTTCGGTCACCCTCCTTCTCCCCATTTTCCCCGATCCCGATGGTTGGAGGCTGGAGGAGACAGCGCAGAAGGGAGGAGGGGGTAATGGCACTCGTAGCTTTATTTATTATTAGGTTAGACAGGAGCCCAGCACATTAAATAATAATAGTAATCCTCACATTTGATATAGTGCTTATCACAAATTCACTGTGAAGTAAATTAACTATATTTTGTGGGCGAAACAGAGCAGCCAATGATTTATTTGAATCCAAGATCAAGGAAATCCGCTCCGCGGTCACTTCCCCTCCAACATCCACCCACCACCCACCCCTTCCCTCCCACACTCCGACTCCTACCCATCCTCCCCTACACACCTTCGAACCCGTTTCCCCACCCTCTGTCACCAAACTCATCCTCTCCCTGAAACCTACCACCTGCTCCCTTGACTCCATCCCCACTCCACTCCTTATCTCCCAGCTCCACCTCCTTGCCCCACATATCACAGACATTGTCAACCTGTCCCTCTCCTCTGGCTCTATTCCCATTCCCTTAAAAACTGCCACCATCACTCCCACCTTAAAAAAACCCTCCCTTGATGCGTCGCAGCTATCAAACTACCGGCCCATCTCCAACCTCCCCTTCCTATCCAAGTTCCTGGAACGAGTTGTCGCCTCCCAGCTGCGCTCTTTCCTCTCCAACCATTCACTATTCGAACCCCTTCAGTCGGGTTTCCGTGCTGCCCATAGCACAGAAACTGCCCTGGTCAAGGTCACCAATGACATCCTGACCATCTGTGACCAGGGCTCCCTCTGCCTCCTCGTCCTCCTCGACCTATCGGCAGCATTCGATACGGTCGACCACGCTATCCTCCTCCACCGCTTGTCCTCCCACCTAAACCTTCAAGGCCCTGTCCTTGAGTGGTTTAGGTCGTACCTCTCCCACCGTCTTCACTTTGTCTCCACAAATGTTTTTTCCTCCGGCCTCGCACTGTCTCGTGCGGTGTCCCTCAAGGCTCTGTCCTCGGTCCCCTCCTCTTCACCCTCTATATGCTCCCCCTGTGGTGACATCATCCGCAGACATGGAGTTAACTCCCACATGTATGCGGATGACACCCAACTCTACCTTTCCTCCTCTACCCTCAACTCCACGACCCCCGATGTCCTGACAGCTGTCTGTCCGACATCGAGTCCTGGACGAGAGACAACTTTCTTCAGCTCAACGTGCGAAAAACCGAGGCCCTCCTGATTGGCTCACGTCAGCGCCTCCGCACCTCAGGCGCTGACAGCATCAGCTCCAAGGCTGCACTCTCCACCTCTCAAAGCCATCAGGAACCTCGGCGTTCTGTTTGACCCTGAGCTGTCCTTTCTCCCTCATATCCGCACCACAACTGGCACCGCCTTCCATCACCTCCGGAATGTCGCCAGACTACGGCACTACCTCACCCCTCACGCTGCTGAAACTCTGGTCCACGCCTTCATCACCTCAAGGCTGGACTATGGGAACTCTCTCCTCGCCGGCCTTCCCGGCCCTCCCTCCACACTGCAGGTCATTCAGAACTCTGCAGCTCGTGTACTGTCCCGCACCAGACACCGCGACCACATCACTCCCACCCTCGCCCTCACCCTCCTCCACTGGCTCCCCATCCCCCAGAGGATCGAATTCAAGATCCTCATCCTCACCTACAAGGCCATTCACGGCCTCGCTCCCTCCTACCTCTCCGACCTACTATCCCCCTACCTACCTGCCCGTACCCTCCGTTCCTCTGGCTCCGGTCTGCTCCACGTCCCCCGCCCCAACCGCCCTACCATCGGTGGCCTTCAGCCTCTTAGCCCCGAGGCTCTGGAACTCTATCCCCAGTGCCTTCGCCGCTTCCTCCCTTTCCTCCTTCAAGGCCGGTCTCAAAACCTTTCTCTTTGACTGTGCCTTCAGCTCCACTCTTGACTCTCTACCCCCTCCTCGCTCCCTCCCCTCACCCTGACCATTCCCCCCTCCTCGCTCCCTCCCTTCCCTCCCCTCACGCTGACCATTTCCCCCCAATGCTCGGGTCCTGACCCAACTGTCCAGCGCCGTGGGACGTCCTCCCGACGTGAAAGGCGCTCAATAAATGGAATCTTGTTGTTGTTGTTGAATAGAGGGATAGACAAGTTGAGAGAGAGCGAGAAAAATAAATTTCCAATTATTCTTGGAAGTGGATGTAACCTGAAGCCGGTGACACATGCACTGTCCATTTTATTCTTTATTTTCCTGGGTTTCAGTTTCATTTTCTTGGGTGGGTTTGATTACTGACCAACAGATTTCATTCTGTACTTTCCAATCCTCAATTCAAATCACAACCACAGAGAGAGAGAGAGAGACAGAGAGAGTGAGACACAGACAGAAAGACAGTCAGAGAGACAGAGAAAGAGAGACAAAGAGTGAGACACAGAGAGACAGACAGAGACACAGAGAGAGAGAGACACAGAGACACGTAACACTTCGCGAGTTTTAACTTAAATCATTGGTAAAAAACAAAGCAAATAAAAGAAACAGAGACGGTAATCAGGAAACGTCGGAGTTTCGGAGAGGAACGGGATCGGGGAGACAGCGACCGGGAGGCGGGTTCGAGGCCGAACGGCGGCAGTGAGGGGGCAAACCGAGCAGCTGTTCCTGCGCCAGGTTAGTGCGGGGGCCGGGGCCGGCCCGGGGGCCGGTGTGGGGGTGGGGGGGTCGGTGTGGGGGTCGGTGTGGGGTGGGGGTCGGTGTGGGGGTGGGGGCGGGGGGTCGGTGTGGGGGGTCGGTGTGGGGTGGGGGCGGGGGTCGGTGTGGGTGTGGGGGGTCGGTGTGGGGGTGGGGGCTCGGTGTGGGGGGTCGGTGTGGGGGTGGGGGGTCGGTGTGGGGGTGGGGGGTCGGTGTGGGGGGTCGGTGTGGGGGCGGGGGGTCGGTGTGGGGGCAGGGGGTCGGTGTGGGGGGTCGGTGTGGGGGCGGGGGGTCGGTGTGGGGATGGGGGGTCGGTGTGGGGGCGGGGGGTCGGTGTGGGGGCGGGGGGTCGGTGTGGGGGCGGGGGGTCGGTGTGGGGGTGGGGGGTCGGTGTGGGGGTGGGGGGTCGGTGTGGGGGGTCGGTGTGGGGGTGGGGGGTGGGGCCGAGTCGCGCCCTCCAGTGGGTTCAGGGGCAGCGCCGACATTTCAAAATCTCCCGCCACAAACTCCCTGCGTGACGTCATTTCGGCGCCAGGTTTGAATGGAATCGAACAACAACACAATGACACGTGTAAAGCGCCTTTCACGTCGGGGGGACGTCCCCGGGCGCTGGGCAGACAGATACGGACCCGAGATGGGGGTCGGGATCAGGGAGGGTGGAGGGCGGGGCGGGGGCGAAGCAGGGAGATCGAAGAGCAGGGTCTTGAAGGGGGTGAGGGAGGGGGCGAGACGGAGGGACTGGGGGATGGAGTTCCAGAGGGTGGGGGCAGAGTGGCAGCAGGTCTGTCTGTCTGCCAGTAGTTGGGCGAGCGAGGCGGGGGTCACGGATAATGGTAGGGGGTAAGGAGCTCTCAGAGGTAGGGGGGAGCAAGACCAGGTCTAGTCCAGTCTTGACTATCTCCTGCTCTTCCTCTCCCCTAAGGTTCTCTGTTGTTTTCCAGGTTGGGCCAACATGGGAACTAACACGATGAGTGCCCTCCCCTCCGCGCAGTCTCTTGGCCCCCGCAGTCTCTATGCCCGTAGGCTGACGATGCCCCGCTGATCACTTTGCCTCCAGTCTCGGTGTGCGAGTTTTGGCTGCTGAACCCGACCTGAGCTGCTTTAACCCCAAACTCCCCCCATCCCTGACCTCTACCCTGCATCACTCCCGCTCTGTCTTCCTCTCTCTCCGTCCTCCTCGCCTCCTATCCCCACTTGGCCGTCCCACAGCCTCTCTCTGCTCCAGCCTGGGAATCCTCCGTCGGCCTCGACATGCTACTCACTGTTGGCTGTCCAGCAGCCACACCGACTGCCCGAACCCCCACTATCACTGCAAGCCCCACCGGACCCATAGTCTGGGGAAAACCTCTCCTTCCTCATCCACATTTCCATTCTTGTCAATCCTCCCCCACCACCCTGGCCTCACACATTCCTCTGCCAACTATCCTCTCTGCAGCACCATACAAAATGTCTGCAGCCTTTCCAACAAAGTCTGTGCCGTCAACGACCTCATTGTTGAGGGAAAAATTGATATCCTTCCCTCGTAGAAACCTGGGCCAGAAATACTGACCCAAGGTGCTGGACAGTGAAGGGCTCGCACCGAAAATGGGGATTGGAGTTGAGGGGTTGGGGATTGAATTCGGAAGGTGACTGAAGGCATGGTCAAAAGAGGAAGGTCTTGAGATGGACTTTGAAGGAGGCAAGAGCAGGGTGAGGCCGAGAGGCTTTGGGATGGAGTTTCAGAGGGCGTGGACTTCCTTATAAAAAATAAGTTTTTATTTATCTTCGAATTTTAGCCAGATTACAAAAAATACGATTTTCATTTTACTGGGAATGATTTATTTTGCGTAATTGATACTTGGGACTTTGTTTAAGTTTGTAGCCTAGAGTTCTGGTAAACTATACTGAGGTTGTGTCTTTGTTGTGTATCCTCTTCTATTTTATCCTTTCCAGGATGGACCGTGGTAACGTTCGTGTGATAGAGAATGACTATCCAGATTTGGTTGTGGATATTGGTGAAGCTGTTCTTGGGGAGAAACAAAGAAAGAAGATGAAAAACAACAGAGAGCTTGAGAAGCAAAATATCATTAAAGCAGCTTGTGGTCTAATAAATTCTGGTGGTGGAATAATTACTCTGAGAGTGAGGAACGAAATGTACAAATATGAGAATGATGGAACTGGGCTAGATATAACTGAAGGTCTACACAATCTAGTGAAACCAGAAAATCTGTCAGAGTTCTTTGAATTTCTGCAACAAGATAAATCATTGTTGATTTTTGTAAAATCTTGGACCGGTAGAACTGATCAAAATGGGAAGTTGCCACGCCTTTGTACTATAAAGTGTAATGTGTATCAGCGGGAACAGGCTAGAAATTTACACTTAAGTACCATGGAGGTAGATCATTTTCTTAACAAAAGAAAGAAATTTGTTCAGTCACTTACCAAAATTTGCATTTCTTCTGAGTTGGACACAGGACCAACAGCAAAAAGATCACGCCAGGGCCCTGAGGTTAGGGGTAATGATGTTGCAATTATGGAATTAGCTAAAGTTGTCTTTGAAAAAGCAAAGTCGAAATGCCCGTTTAAAAGTGGTGTAAAGTTGAGCGTTGCAGAATCTAAACATGTTGAATATAAAGAGTTTTCTTCTTCTCTTAATTTGACGAAAATGAAAGAGAAATTGTACGAATGCATCTCTGCATTTGCAAACGCAGAAGGTGGGTTTTTATTTTTTGGTGTGGATGATGAATCCAAAGTTGTTGGTTGTGCAAATGATTTTCCAAACTGTGATGCTGTTCACGAAAAGATTGCAGAGATGTTAGAACATTCCCTTATAAGTTACCCTTCAGAGGAAAATTATGTAGAATTTCATGTGGCTGAAGTTTTGGAAGAACTAAAATGCATCGGCTATTTAATAGCTTTTCGTGTGAAGCCATGCTATGTTACGTTTGCTCACAAACCTGAATGTTGGAAGATAGAAGATAAAGAAATTAAGAGCCTGGAACCCAACGAATGGCTTGAGATGATGACAGCTACGGATCCTGGTAAGTACAAAGTTATTTTCATCGTGAAAAATGTTTATTTAGTCATAATATCATGTGTTCTGAACAGTGCGAAGCAAATCACCAATAACTGCAGAATTAGACAATTGTTAGAAAACAAAACATCGCGTTCCGGGAATTGGGAGTTAAGCTAAAGAGTAGAACTTCGAAGGTATTAATATCGGGATTATTATCTGAGCCAGGGGCAAATTGGTGACCTGATGGCCTACATCCTCGGGTTTTAAAAGAGGTGGCTCCTGAGATAGTGGATGGAGTGTCTTTGATCTTCCAAAATTCTCTGGATTCTGGAACGGTTCCCATTGATTGGAAGATCGCAAATATAACATCACTACTTAAGAAGGGTGGGAGAGAAAAGATGGGGAACTATAGACCAGTTAGTCTGACATCAGTGGGAGGGAAAATTCTTGAGTCCTTAATTAAAGATGTCGTAATGGGATTCCTGGAAGACCATAACAAGATTACAGAGTCAACATGGCTTTACAATAGGGAAGTCACGCTTAACTAATCTTTTAGAGTGTTTTGAAGATGTATCTCGCAGGTTAGATGGGGGGACACACAAAAGGCTATTGCACAAGGTTAAGGCCCACGGGATTAATGGGAACATATTAACATGGATTGAAGAGTGGCTAACGGGTAGAAAACAGTGAGTAGGAATAAACTGGTCATCTCGAATTGGCAGGAGGTGACTAGTGGAGTGCCACAAGGATCAGTGCTGGGTCTCAGCTATTTACAATTTACATCAATGATCTCGACGAGGACATTGAATGTAACGTATCTAAATTCACGGATGACACTAAACTATGTGGGAGAGTGAGCTCTGAGGATGATGCAAAAAGATTGCAACGGGATACAGATAGGCTCGGGGAGTGGGCGAGTAGGTGGCAGATGGAATTTAATGTGGGGAAGTGTGAAGTTATTCACTTAGGTAGAAAAAATAGAAAAACAGATTATTTTCTAGAGGGGGAGAGATTAGACAGTGTTAGTGTTCAGAGGGATTTGGGTGTCCTTGAACACCAGTCTAAAAAAGTTAGTTTGCAGGTGCAGCAGCAACTAAGAAGGCGAACGGCAGTTAGCGTTCATTGCAAAAGGTTTAGAGTACAAGAGTAGGGAAGTCTTGCTGCAACTGTATAGGGCCCTGGTGAGACCGCACCGAGAGTATTGTGTGCAGTTGTGGTCTCCTTATTTAAAAAAGGACATACTTGCCCTCGAGGGGGTGCAGCGTAGATTCACTCGGTTAGTTCCTGGGATGAGGGGACTGACCTGTGAGGATAGGCTGAATAAACTTGGGGTATATTCTCTAGAGTCACAGAAGAATTAGGGGAGATTTTATTGAAACATATAAGATTCTTAAAGGGCTGATAAAGTAGACACTGAGGGCCCGTTTCCCTGGGAGGAGAATCTATAACCAGGGGTCACAGTCTGAAAATTAAGGGTCAGCCTTTTAGAACAGAGTTGAGGAAACATTTCTTCACTCAGAGAGTAGTGAATTTATGGAATTCACTTCCCAGAAGGCTATAGATATTCAGTCCTTGAACATCTTCAAGGCTGAGACTGAGAGATTTTTTAAAAAACAGACAGATTAGGGGATATGGGGATAGGGCAGGTAATTAGAGTTAGGTCTGAAGATCAGTCATGATCCTATCGAATGGCGGGGCACAGGCTCGAAGGGCCGAATGGCCGACTCCTGCTCCTAATTCTTATGTTCTTATTAAACAATCTACTTTTTACCTCAATAGATATTGAAAAACTTGCTCTGAACATTGAGAATGCATTACGTATTACTGAGGCTCCCCCATCGTGCAAGGCCGTGTGCTCAATCGGAGAAGCTGGACGTTTGGATAAATTGCAAAATAAGCTCTTTAAAGGTCAGAATGGAACGTTTGATACATAAATGGGGAAATGAGGCGCTAATCACTGCTCATTTAATTGTGAACTGTGTGCCTTTATCTCATTTCATGAGGTTTTACTTCACAAATTACCTAGTAAATACAGTACAATTTAGATTCATAAGAACCCCTCTCATGTCAGGAGGATGTCTATAGCGTCTCAGAGTGTTGGATGGGCAGCTGAGCTGAGGGTGAATGGCCGGGACAAGTGCTTTTTGAAAATCAAAATTTGCAATCGCCATATTTGCTCAAAATACAAGAAGAAGGTTTCACCATCACTGTACAGTGGAAACCCCAATAATGGTCAGTTATTTACAGTCCTTCATTCAGTATTACAGTGGAAGTTTACATTGATATAGCACCTTTCATATTGGGAGAACGTCCCAAAGCGCTTAATAGTACTGGCTGGTCACCCGAGCTGGGAGTAGGAGCTAAGGGTGGGGAAAGATGACCCAAAGTGCGGTCAAAGAGGTAGACGAACATTGAACTAGGTGGATGAGGGGAGGACCCTGGACTATTAGGGAGTGGGTGGGGTGGTATTTCCGTCAGGAAGGATGAGATCAAGTGGTCCAAACCTCCCAAATGAATACAGAAATACAAGCTCACTAGGGACTTGAACTTGTAAAAAGCCATATAAATTAGTGGGATCAAGGTTTGGCTGTTGTATTTACTAAAACATAAGGTCTTTTTCATGTGCCTTTTTATAGTTAACCGTGATGAGCTGAAACACATGCCGGATGACTTATATCAAGATCTGTCACAGGAATATCCAGGCCTGAGAAATGTGGTACCAGAAATGAAACCTTCAGGAAGTGTTGGACTTCTGATTTTCTCAAGAAGCTGGGCTGTTGACATTGACCTCCCAAAGAGCCCAGATATAATTTGTGATGCACTGTTAATTGCTACAAATAACACTCCAGTACTGTACACAGTCGCCAAACAGAAAAACAATGAAGTGCTCCAACATTCAAAGAAAACTGCATTTAATCTCAAGCAAAAAATTGTGAACGTGGGAGGCTATGCAGGAAAACTCTGTGTGATTCCAAAGATCCTTCAGTATCCTTCAGAGGAAAACTCTGACACATCGGTTGAAGAAACAGAAGATGAAAGCATTCAGTATCCACATAGCTACCTCTTAGGACACAGTACCACTGTTCAAGACGTGCTGAAAGCGCTCACCATTGTTTTGCTGAATTTTAGAAGTTTCCTGAGTTACGACCTCAGCTGTGAATTTCTCAGTCTTCTAACAATAGAACAGTTCAATATTCTTCATTCACGATTCAATATTGAGAAATGCAAAAAACTCTTCATCCATGGTCTTCCTGGAACCGGCAAAACCATCATTGCCATGCAGCTCATTGAAAGAATCCGCAACACCTTCAATTGTGAGAGTCATGAGATCCTCTACATTTGTGAAAACCAGCCACTGCGGAATTTTATACAGTAAGATTATTTTTATTAGTTTTGTTCAAAACCATATCCGAAGGAAACAAAGAGACTGGAGGCAAAGAAGCACAAAAGGGAAGGGCTACAAGCCAATAAGCATATGTCTGTTTGGTCTAGGGTGGGTACAAAAAAATTAAAGAGCAACATTTTACTGACAGTAACAATTGGCAGAGTGAGTAAGGAGAGGAAGGCCAATACAGTAATCGTAATCCGTGTATTTGGTATAGCACCTTATCATGTTGTTGAGCCAACTCAAAGCGCTTAATAGAATATACTGTAAAGTGGATTAACTGTATTTTGGGGGCGAAACACAGCAATATCCCTTAAACAGCCATGGAGTGAGTGACCAATTAGGAAGGCGAACGGTATGTTAGCATTCATTATGAAAGGATTAGAGTATAAGAGTAGGGAAGTCTTGCTGCAACTGTATAGGGCTCTGGTGACTTGGGACGTCCTCCCGACGTGAAAGGCGCTCTATAAATGGAATCTTGTTGTTGTTGTTGGTGAGATCACACCTGGAATACTGTGTGCAGTTTTGGTCTCCTCATTTAAGGAAGGACATACTTGCCTTGGAGGGGGTGCAGCGCAGATTTACTCGGTTAGTACCAGGGATGAAGGGGATGAGTTACGAGGATAGGCTGACCAATTTGGGCCTATATCCTCTAGAATATAGAAGAATTAGAGGGGATCTTATAGAAACCTAAAGATCATCAAAGGGCAATGATAGAGTAGATAGTGGGAGATTGTTTCCCCGGTTGGAGAAACTAACACCAGGGGTCACAACCTTAAAATCAGAGGCAGCCCTTTCGCACCGAGTTGAGGAAGAACTTCTTCACTCAAAGGGTAGTGAATGAATGGAACTCACTACCCCAAAGAGCCGTTGACACTCAGTCCTTGAACATATTCAAGACTGAGATAGATAGACTTCTTATTGTAAAAGGGATTAAGGGATATGGGGATAAGGCAGCGTCAGGTTATTAGCTGGAGTTAGATTAGAAGATCAGCCATGATTGAATGGCGGGGCAGGCTCGAAGGGCCGAATGGCCTACTCCTGCTCCTACATGTCATGTTATGTTAATTTTATTTTGTGGGATTGTTGGCCAGGACACCAGGAGAAACCCCTTTTTTTTTCAAATAGCACCTTGGGATCTTTAACATCACCTAATCAGGCAGATGGGACCTGGGTTTAACATCTCATTCGAAGGACAGCACCTCCCACAAGGCAACCGCCCCCCACCACCCCAGGACTCCATTGCAGTGTCATCTTAGACTATGTGATTCCTAATCCCAACATGAACCCACAACCTTCTGAATCAAGATTGAATCCACTGAGTCGGGCTGACACATGGGGTACTATGGGAACTGGAATGCATAGAGTAGCAAACACAGACAGAATTAAAGACTGTACAGCACTAAAACATGCCATTTGGCCCAACTCGTCCTTGATTGCGTTTGTACTCCTTGTAACCCTTCTACTCTGCAAATCTGTGGAGTCCTGTAGCTCAGTGGTTAGAGCACTCGCTTTGCAAGTGAGAGACCTGAGTTCAATTCCAGGCAGGGCGAGACCTTGGGCAAGTTTCCTTACTCCACACGCCTAATAATAATCCCTCCAAAACCAAAAAAAAAAAAAGAAAAAAAAAAAACAATAATAAATTGGTCATTTTCAATCCACGACTGTTTGTGGGACATTGCTGTGCGCAATTAGCTGCCGCGTTCGCCCACAAATATACAGTCAATTCACTTTACAGTATATTCTGTGAAGCGCTTTGGGACGTCCTCCCGACGTGAAAAGCGCTATATCAAATGCAAGGATTATTATTATTATTATTATTAAATCCCTTCACACTGTGTCACCTCCCTACCTTTCTGACCTGCTTTCTCCCCCTCCACTACCCGCTGCCTCCACTCAGCTGGCTCTGGCTTCCTGCTTGTCCCTCGTCCCCTCCGCTCCACCAACGGAAGCCGCGCTTTCAGCCACTACACCCCGAAGCTTTGGAACGCTCTCCCCCAATCCCTGCCTTGTCCCCTCCTTTCTATCTTTTAAATCACAACTGAAGACCTTCCTCTTCGACAGTGGTTACGAACACCTCCTCCCTCCCTCCCCAGCTTGGAGTCACGCTCCGCCATTGATAAGTGCTTCAAGGGTGCTATTGAAATGCAGGTTGTTATTACTGCTATTCCATTCTCCCTCATGTTTCTTCAATTCAAAATACACACCTCCCTCCCTCTCTGATGTTCTGTAACTGATTCCTAAGTTCACTCAGACCTGCTACGTATCCCCCACCTGTATTGGTGGCCAAGCCTCAGTCACTACTACCCTAACTTCTGATCTTCCTGACTGGACCCCTTTGCAAAAACAAATCAAAGTATTTAGGAGAACCATTAAACCACATTTTTCCCCTTTGAAGCTATGGATTTGTGACATTTTTAAAAAATAACTCTTTACCTGCAGAACACTGTTTTTGAGTGATATCTTACCTCAACCTCCTAACCCCCTACCATCCTGCTCGCTCCCTCCGCTCGGCTGGCTCCGGCCTGCTTCAAGTCCCCTGTCTCGCCTGCCCCACCATTGGCTGGCAGGACGTCTGCCACTCTGTCCCACTCCCTGGAACTCCATCCTGCACTCCCTCCGCCTCGCCCCCTCCCTCGCCTCCAAGACCCATCTCAAGACCCTGCTCTTCAATATGGTTTAATCACCCTGCTTCCCTCCCTACCCTCCACCCTCCCCAATCCTGACCCCCAGCTTGTGTCCGAAACACTAACTGTCCAGCGCCATGGGACGTCCTCCAGATGTGAAAGGCGCTGTACACACGTTATTTTGTTGTTGTTCATGCTAACTTGTGATTGCAGGCAAAGAGATCTTTGCACATGTGTGACGAGGACTACATTCATAAAGGAGGATCCGTTCAACAAAGTCAAACACATTATCGCCGACGAAGCTCAGAATTTCCGCGCTGAATCTCCCAACTGGTATGATAAAGCTGAGGGTATCAGGAAGAATCCACATACACACCCCAATGGACCAGGAGTCTTCTGGATTTTCATGGACTATTTCCAAACTTCCCACACATCTGAAACTGGGCTGCCTAATATTAATGAGCAGGATCCAGAAACTGAACTGACTGTAATCGTACGGAATGCTAAAAGAATACACAAGTTTGCCCGTAAGGCCATGGAACAGATAATTGAGATACAGTTTGGTCAATCAGATAGACAACACGCTGTGCATCTAAGAAATCTGCTTGATGCAAGTGCTTGTGTGCACTCATTTCCAGGCATGTTGTACATTGAGGAATGTGAGACCCGACATGCGATTGTACAATACATAGCAACTAAGATAAAGGATTATCTTAAGAATGGCTATGCAAAGAAACAGATTGCTATTTTATGTAGCACCAAGGCAGATTCTGAATTTTACAAGCCTCAGTTGGAAAAGCAGCTCAGGAAAATCAGACCAATTGTGTCCTTAGGAACAGCAGATGGAGCACCTTGTGATTGGATTGTTTTAGACAGTATACGGCGATTTTCAGGTCTAGAGAGGAGTATTATATTTGGCATCAACCCAAAAGCTCATGCTTCTCAACATGAAATAGAACCTAATCTTATGGTGTGCCTGGCATCACGAGCTATGGCCCAGCTCCACCTGTGTATATTCTAGAGCTGAGTTGAAGATTGAGGGTTCAAATCCCAATGTCGGGTCTCCGAACCCATATTCAGTCTAGGCTGGCACTCCAATGCAGTGAGTGTTAGGGGTGTAATAGTGTCACTATAACAAGCTGTTTTAATTAATTACAGCATCTGTAATAATCAATGGGATTTAGTGATTGGGAAATTAATCAGGGTTAATGGGTTTAAGAAGTTATTATAGATAGCATGATCAACAAAGTCTAGCATTTTAATTGAGGGACCGTTGATCACTCAGATATTTTGTGCTTTTGATTACGGAACAGTGAGGCAGATGAGAGGTCCCAGCACCTGTGTCATGATTTCCCTTTAAGGAACCACTGATTTGGACCTCAGCTGACAGTTTAATGTCTGCAATTGGTTGTGTGAACAGTTGGTTTGATTATATTTTCCATCAATTTTGTTTAGTTTTTGTTCCAGCGCATTGGGACGTCCTCCCAACGTGAAAGGCGCTATACAAATGTAATCTTGTTGTTGTTGTAGTTGGTCAGAGGATCATGACATCTTAGCTATCACTTGTACCTGAATCTTTGTTTCTTTTCTCTGGTAATCAAGGATCTCTCAAGAATCTTCTTGGAAATTGGTTTTGCACGTGGGGATTATCTATATGGCATAGTCTACTCTCATTGTAATCATGTAGATACTAGATGGCTGTTAGCAAACAAATATCGGCTTTTTAATCCAATTGGGACACATTACAGTTATTTCATCAATGGGTTTTCACTGTTATTGCAACTTTTTTAAAAAAAACTGGTGACATCTTATAACTTCATTAATGAATTCTAGATAATGTTTCCGAAAGGCAAATAAAGATTGGTTTGTAACCACCAACTCCTGACATGAATCGTTCTTGTTCGCAAATTGGCCTTCAGTATGTTCAGATGATGTGGTGATACTCTCCCGGGAGGCTTTTGAATGAAGTATCACACAAAAGACCGCCACGTGGGTATATGACTGGGAGTGAAGCCACTTTGCTATAGGCAGTGAGTATTGATGTGGAGCGGAAAGCTGGGTTTACATTGCTTGTGAAGTTCATCCTTGGGTAGAGCAGTCGACGTGCTTTAATCTATGCCAATGCAATGTGCTAAATCAAGAGTTTTACCATATCAATAGTAACGCAAAACTACTAGAATTTTTTTCCTTTGCACCAATACATCTCGCTAAGTATTCACGTGGCTCTTTTTTAAAAGAATCTTTTTAAAACAAAGATCGCCACCAGAGGGAACCAAACAGCGGTTTCCCAAGTTACACACTTTGTGTCTGAAATTTATGGTCAAGGAGAATCTGGGGGGAAAAAAATCTTTTAACTTCCTTAATTTTGCACAGAACTACAGAAAAACAGGCTTGCAAACTAAGATTACATTTAAGAATTTTCAACAATTCAATTTCTAGGGCAAAATGAAATTTCAGGCCGAGGGCATCAATTCAATTACATCTTCATAATAATAATAATCATCCTTGTATTTAATACGTTGTTGAGACATCTCTATGAGCTTCACAGGATATACTATAAAGTGGACTGACTGTCCATTTTGTAACCTAATTCAACTCCTTTGTAGGTGACCTTGATTTAATTTTGTGTAGTAGTTAATCTGTTAGGCAATCTGAGTATTGAGCACTGGTATTGCAGTCAGAAGCTGGTTGCTTTTAGCGGAGGAAGATTTCCAAAAAATTCACATATTCTACCACAGGACATTCTATTCAGGACAATTATGAAATTCAGGTGTCAACCAGGTGAAAAGATTTATGCATGTGTGTGGTCTCCACAGCATCCACGTGGAAACTAATCCGATATTTGAACACAATAAGTTCTCCTTAATGTTGGGACAAATCCAATAAAAACATTCAGAACTGGTAGCGCTACACAAATTTAAACTTTTATTATTTAGAAGAGAAATCCAAACTATCTCATACAGGAAGGTTTTATACAAGTTTTGTAAAATAGCTAAGGAGAGCTGATTTTAAGCTTACAACCAACACAAAAACCCTTTCCGTTTACAGTCAGAAGGGACAACAATTTCCAGTGTAAAGAAATGTTTCATTATAAAACTGCATTATTCCATAAGTGTGACCAAAATTTCTGCTGTAGGATAAATGTTTGACCCTCATTTGCAGTACTACCTAGTGCTCAACACAATAATAATAATCCTTGCATTTGATAAAGCGCTTTATCACGTCTTCCAGACATCTCAAAGCGCTTCATAGAATATGCTGTAAAGTGTATTGACTGTATATTTTCTGGGTGAAACACAACAGCCAATTTAATAACTCAACCCTATCCACCGGTAAAAGATTAAAACCCTAAAAAGAAAATTAACAAAGGGAACCAAGCATCCTAACAATTTAAACTCCAAAGCAATTCCTGTGATTTGTAGTCTACTCGTGATCCAATCACTTCATAGAATTAAAAAAAAACTCCATCCTTGTATTTAATACCTCACATAGTTTAAAAGTTCTCAACAAAAATAAAGCCTCTAAATGCCACATTTGTTGGAGCTAAATATGGATATCCATTTCCCATGTAAATATATATTTTGATCATCAGGATTTTCACAAAACAACCCCATTTTCTACTCGATTTTCTGAAAATGACACCAACCAGCCACACATGCTTTTGTAATCAGCAAGTCTTTTAGGCTCAGTTACAAAACAAAAATCCTACAAAACTGATAAACATTAGGAATCCATTTCAAACATTACTTTTTAAAATTCTGCCCAGAACATCCGATTATTCATATTTTCTAAAAAAAAGCTCTCACCCCACATTTCCTGATTTCATATATTATTCTGTTAAATATTCTTGATTAAGACTTTTCTCAAAAAAGTAACCAAAGACAGTCTGATTCTCACCAATACAACTGACTAAAAGGTACCTTTGGCAGGAGATTTGAGGAAATAATTGCAGTGTACTAAAGAGATTATGTAATTCACACATCTAATTGCCAGAACAGACTCTTTTTAATCTACTGTTCTGGACTTTAATTTTCTATAAAGCTTCAATAGTTTGATTTACCTTATCATCTTCCTATTCTAAAACAAGTTTCATAGATTAAATATATTCAATATTATTTCTCAAGAACAAAGCTAAATTAGCTCACACACAGGCACATGGTCTGGGACAGTACTCGACAGCTGGAGACATTCTAGAAATCGGGATCCTATTAGAAACAAAAAGTATTCTTTGGGATGTAAAAGTCAAAGTGATCTCCCACTGACAAACCTTTTCACAATTTAATTATGGGTTTAAGATGCTGCTGCCCTAATCTCGCACCGCAATTTCCCTTTGTTGCTTCAAGTATTTTCAAATACTATGTTCTTTTGTAATTGACTAAAACCAATCCTGACTGTCACCAGCATCTGTCCATGCCAATGCCTTGGGACGTTCTCTCGGCGTGAAAGGTAAATGTCATTTTGTATTATATTATTGTGACAAGCTACAAAAATTGGAAGCCTTTGCACTTTGTTTCCCAAACCCCACCTCACACACCTGTGGCGTCAGTGCTGTGCCTGCTACAGTGCAATAATAAGCTGCAAGTTTCTCACATTAATCAGTTCACAAGTCATTTGCAAAGAGAATACAACTCATTGAACAGACAAAAAAAGCCAAACTGGAATCTCAGACTTTGGAGTCTAATTTGTGTTCTCTTGAAAACAGGAATCCTACTTACTGTCAAGCTGTAGAAACACCGGCTCCAGAGTGTCAGAATACAGCTCCTACATATCACAGATGCAATCTTGGATACAGGAAGGAAACCCTACGGGTGTGATTCAGATTCCCTGTTAAACAATACCACAAATTGGAGCCTATTATAGTTTAGGAATTAGAAATGATGGGCTAACTAGGGGAAACGAAGGACCTCTTCAGAAGCATCAAGTCCATAATATGGGATGACAGACAGCTCATTTGTGGTGAATAATAAATCAAAAAGAAACTTTCTGCATAACCCACTCTCTAGGATGGTGTGTGTTCAGGCCACTTTCTGACAAGATAGCGCAAAGCATGATACACTTTTTAAAAAAGTAGGTCAAAAAATGCAGAGCGAATGTTGACATCAGATATTACACGCTTCAAGTAAATTTTCAAACACAAAAACAGTTCATCCTACTTTACACAGTTCAACTGAGACTAAAGGAATATTCCCCACTGTAGCAATGGCTGTTCATCCAGAATGAGGTTCTTACGAACACAAATTAGTTTAAAACTTGGTGGCAAAATACATCAGTACATCATCTGCCTTTACAAAACGGTCATGAGCTATAGCCATCACTTTTTTAGATGTTGAATCCAATAACCAGTAGCTCAACCCAACCACTATCAAGCATGATTTAACACCATAAAAGGAAAGTCGTTGACTTTTATGCATAATATGCAATCATTCAGATAATCAGAATTGCTACAGTGAACATTCATTCCGTCCAGATCTTAATCATGCAGAAACATATATAATGCCCACTCGGTGTGGAAAGCCACGCTCGACTCTCTTCCCCCTCCTCGCTCCCTCCCTTCCCTCCCCTCACCCTGACCATTTCCCCCCTCCTCTCTCCCTCCCTTCCCTCCCCTCACCCTGACCATTTCCCCCCTCCTCTCTCCCTCCCTCCCCTCCCCTCACCCTGACCATTTCCCCCCTGCTCGGGTCATGACCCAACTGTGCAGCGCCTTGGGACGTCCTCCTGACGTGAAAGGCGCTTTATAAATGGAATCTTGTTGTTGTTGTTGTTGTTATAGAACATTATTTCATTTTCATATTGAAGACAAAGAGGACAGCATTGCTGAACCTATGGGACTATGTGCAATCCACATCAAAATAAAACATTTACTCCGGATTTGTAAAAAAAATTAATGGACTATAGTCAATGTGAGATGTATTTTTGACTGGGCTTTATTTAGTCCATGTATTTATTCGTATCAATGTAAATTCCAAGTAGTTTTCTTGCTGAAGTTATTGCTTTTTAAATAATGCTTTTCATTTAGGTCATGAACTCACAGTCAAGTCAAATTTCCTGGAAGAGATGGAGAGTTCAACTGAGCAAGAGTCAACTCAAGAAAGGGGTAGGGAATTGTCTATGGTTCCAGAAAAGTGAGTGCAAATAGTGGAAATAGATTTACAGTCAAAACTGGGGCTAAATTGCCGAAAGAAGTAAGGAGGTAAGGGCAAGCAGGTAAAGTGGATAAGGACCAATTAACAAATTGCATCAGGTTCTAACCAACTAAATATTTGCGTGTGGAAACACTGATCAGAAGACAGAGAGTGATTGTAAAAGAGAGCAAATTATTTTGAAGTGGAACCACATAGGTGCAGGACTGCTCAGCAGCAACATACCTGTACCAGAACAGCAAATGGAACAGAGAAGAAAAAGGCAAACACTCATTCAACCTTGGGAGAACAGTCAATGATTCAACAGAATGGATAATGGTACTGTTTGACCTTTAACCTGATTAATAACTTTGTAAACATTTACATGTAATTATTGCACTGTAGACCACATTTATGATGGGAAACATAAATAGGTTAAATTAAAACCATTTAAAAATTGAAACTGATTTATTCACTTTTTTATTGTGCATTCCTACTGATCTTAACATAAAAACAAGCCAATTCTGATGGACAGTGTGGACAGTTCAGTATAAACAATATGGAACCACACAGAATTCTGCCCAGCAGGTTAAACTGAAGGTTTTGGATAATGNAAAAAAATGTTTAGGGTCAATCAGGTGTCTTGACGCTTGTGAAAACCCACTACTATGCTTATCCAAAGAGTTCTACATATGTATGCAATTTACGCATACAACTAAAGTGGGACAGTGCATTTTTTCAACCCAAGCTTACAGGTATACATTTGCTTTATGTACACACTGCAGAATTCCTAAGCAAGGATTGGTCTGACCTTATGGAGGTTAAATGCACTTTCGACAAAACCAGCACTTTTAAGTTACATGATAGATGATTAACATTTAATTTTCTCCTTAGATTTCATTTACTGGATTAAGTATAAGATAGTGGAACCAGACATTTCAAAATCTTTCTGCATGATATGAAAATTATTATCTTGATCTAGCAACAATTGAAATAGCTTCCAGTCGTTCATCAATGCAGTTACTTCTCTGTTTCCATTTTGTTGTTGATGCTCATTTCCCACTGATAACCTTTGCATACTTATTGACCAAAAAAGTACAATATTGCTCTTTTAAAACAGATTGCGGTCCTAAATTTCTAAAGTGACTAGTTAATCTGATTGGTAAGATTCTTAGTGCTTAAGCTATTAGATACAATCACTTTCTAAAATGTACAATTCCCTGAATAGAAACAGCATTTCAAATTTATGGAAAAACAACAAAATGTTTTCTCATCCCCCTCCAACATTCAGGAATGCTAATGCAGTCAACCATGAGGTTGCTCTGCAGATCGGCATTAGACAAGCAATTTTTGGGGGGTGAAACTCTCTTATTTGGTTTTTTTTGTACTCTCCTTTCCCCGGAATTTTGGTTCCCTCATTCATTCCCATCCAAATGTAGCCATTGGACAGTTGCAGATTGTTGTACCAAGCCATCTCTTAAGACACAGTGGCAAATAGCTGTGCAAATGTTCCTGTACAATCAAATAGTATTTTCAGTTGAGGGGGTGGTATGTGTCAACTTTAAGTTGTGGATATGGATGAACAGATTGTACTGGTTTCATCAGGGTGGGGGTCAAGTGATGGAAATGCACATCTCCAGAGTTAAGATTGTAAATTAATTTACTCAAGATCTGAAGACGTGCACAGCCCGTATTACGAACTGCCTGCAGATGGGGCACTCACTCATCCTCTTGCCACACTTTGTGCACGTGACCATATGGCCACACTCCAGCAGTACACAATCAATGGGAGAGTCCATGCATATTTTGCAGATATTTTGATCCACACCTGAAGATTCAGTCCCTGAATGACAAAGAGGAAAGATAGTTAATGAAAAGTGTCTTCACGATTAACAATGCAACATTTTTGTAATTGCTACAGTGAACGATCATTCCGTCCAGATCTCAATCAAGCAGAAAGTTATATAATGTCCACTCAGTGTAAAAGCCACTCTTATAGAACATCATTTCCTTTTCAAACTGAAGACAAAGAGGACAGCATTGCTGACCTTTGGGACTATGTGCAATCCAAATCAAAATAAAACATTTACTCTGGATTTGTAAAAAAAAAGAAAAATATTACTGGACTATAGTCGTGACTTGTATTTTGGACTGGGCTTTATTTAGTCCATGTGATCATTTGCATCAATGTAAAGTCCAAGTAGTTTCCTTGCTGAAGTTATTGCTTTTTAAATAATGCTTTTCATGAACTCAGAGTAAGGTCAAATTTCCTGGAAGAGATGGTGAGTTCAACTGAGCAAGAGTCAACTCAAGAAAGGGAGGGAATTGTCTATGGTTCCTGAAAAGGGAATGCAAACAGTGGAAATGGATTTACAGTCCAAACTGGGGCTAAATTGCCAAAAGTAAGGAGGTAAGGGCAAGCAGATGAAGCGGATAAGGGCCAGATAACAAACTGCATCAGGTGAGCTGTAGCATTTGGGTTCTAAACAACCAAATATTTGTGTGTGGAAACATTAATCGGAAGACAGAGAGAGATTCTAAAAGAGAGCAAATATTAGCATTATGAAGTGGAACCACATAGGTGAAGGACTGCCTCGCAGCAGCACACATTTTTGCAACCAGGGAATTATGGAATACAAACTAAAAGTTCAAAAACACTGCAGCAAAATATCTGGATATCATTCACCTCTTGCAAGAAAATGACAACTCTGCTTGATATTGTAACAATAATAATAATCCTTGCATTTGATATAGAGCCTTATCATTCCTCGAGAGTTCTCAAAGCGCTTCACAGAATATACTGTAAAGTAAATTGACTGTATATTTTGTTGGCGTAATACACAAATGTGTCTCTTTTAAAAATTGACCATTTTTAATTGTATTCTTTGAAAGTAAAATGATACCTACCACGCTGTGTTCCAGATTCAGCAACTGAAGAAAATAAATAAAAGTTAGTATATCCAACACATTGAATAAGAACTGAGTTACCTCACACCCTACAAGAACAACAAAATTACATTTGTAAAGTGCCTTTCACGTTGGGAGGACATCCCAAGGCGCTGGATAGACAGAGTTATGGACACGAGCTGGGGGTAGGGGTGGGGGAGGGTGGAGGGCAGGGGTTGGAAAGCAGGGAGATCGAAAGCACGGTCGAAGAGAAAGGTCTTGAGATGGGTCTTGAAGGTGGCAAGGGAGGGGGCAAGACGGAGGGACTGCGGGATGGAGTTCCAGAGGGTGGGAGTGGCGGATCGGAAGGTGGAAATAGTGGGGTGAGCGAGGAGGGGGACTTGAAGCAGGTCGGAGGATTCATAGATTCATAGAATGTTATGGCACAGAAGGAGGCCATTCGGCCCATCGAGTCTGTGCAGCTCGTTGACAGAGCGTCACTTACACTAACCCAAATCACCAGCTTTCTCCCCATAACCCTGCAAACCCGTCTTCTCCAGATACCTATCCAGTTCTCTCTTAAAAGCTGTTATTGAATCGGACTTCACTGCCCTTTCAGCAGATCATTCCAAATTCCAACAACTCGCTGAGTGAAAACATTTCTTCTAACCTCCCCTCTGCTTCTTTTGGTAGATATCTTCAGACTGTGACCACGGGTCACAGACACACCTACCAGCGGAAACAGCTTTTCCTTATCTCACCTGTCGAAACCTTTCATGATCTTGAAGACCTCTATCAAGTCCCCGCGTAACCTTCGCTGCTCTAATGAGAAAAGTCCTAATTTCTCCACTGTCCTCATAGCTAAGGTTCCCCATTCCTGGTATCATTCTCGTGAATCTACTCTGCACCCTTTCCAGTGCCTTAATGTCCTTCCTGAAGTAAGGTGCCCAGAACTGGACACAGTACTCCAGCTGAGGCCTAACCAGTGTTTTGTATAGATTAACCATAACCCCTACTCTTATACTCTATGCCCCTACTAATAAAGCTCAGTACACCAAATGCCTTTTTTACTGCCGTATCTACCTGCTCCGCTACCTTTAATGATGAACACCCAGATCTCTCTGTACGTTCACCTCCTTTAAGATTGAGCTCCCAAGTCTATATTGCCTACTATCATTTTTCCTACTAAGTGTATCACCTCACACATTGAAATCCATCTGCCACATGTCAGCCCATTCCACCATTCTGTGTATGTCTGCTTGCAGTTGGTTACGTCCTCCTCACTATTTACTACCCTACCTAGGATGCTGAGTGGAGGGAGCAAACAAGATGTAGAGGGTTAGGAGGTCGCAGAGGTGGGGGGGGGAGCAAGACCGTGGAGGTCTTTGAAGGTGAAGACCAGAATCTTGAACTGTATCCGCTGTGTGATTGGAAGCCAGTGGAGTTGGGCAAGGATGGGGGTGATAGGGTCATGGAGCCTAGTGCGGGAGAGGACACGGGCTGCAGAATTCTGGATGATCTGCAGCCTGTGGAGGGAGGAGTTGGGGAGGCCGACAAGCAATGAGTTTGCATAGTCGAGCCTCGATGTTATGAAGGCGTGTATGAGGGTTTCGGTGGCCTGCGATGTGAGAGTGGTGGAGCCGGGTGACGTCGCTGAGGTGGGGGAAGGCAGAGCGTGTCATGGCACAGATGTGGGGTAGAAAGGATAGTTGAGGGTCAAAAAAGACGCCGAGGTTCCGGACTGGCTTAGCAAGGTGGAGTGTGCAACCATGGATGGTGATGCTGTCAGTGCCTGAGGTGTGGAGGCACTGACGGGAGCCAATCAGGAGAGCCCCGGTCTTGTTGACGTTCAACTGAAGAAATCATTCAGGACTTGATGTCTGACAGACATTCTGTCAGGACAGCAGTGGGTCCTGGAGTTGAAGGTGGAGGCAGAGGGGTAGAGTTGGGTGTCATCCACATACATGTGGAAGTTGACCCCATGTCTGCAGATGATGTCACCAAGAGACTGCAATCCTCTCTTACCCAGGTTTTGAAGGTTCTTCTGTTCTCTGTAAAGCCGGGTCACTCTCTCCATTAACTCCCATTTTTCACAGCAGCCTTTGTAATTTACAAAATTTCGTGCTAGAATCTCTTTGAGTTGGCGCACGGTGAGTGTTTCTATATCTTCTACACACGTCAGGTCAGAAAGTGAGGCTCGGTGACGGCCTGGAACAAGAACTTCCTCTGAATCGATGGACTGTGGGAAACGGAATCAGAATTCCCAAGTTAGGATTATAATAATCCTTGCATTTTGATATAGCGCCTTATCACATCTTCGAGATGTCTTAAAGCTCTTTACAGAATATATTGTAAAGTGAATTGATTGTATTTTGAGGGTCAAAAGCAGCAGCCTGCACAGCAGAGTCACACAAACAGTCATGAAGTGACCAATTTTTTTCTTTTTTTTTTGAAGGGATTATTACCCCCGGAAAAGCGACCCGCCAATTGACTAACAACCGGGCTCCTACTTACTGCTGGTAAACAGAGGCATGTGGAATAAGGAAACTTGCCCAATGTTTCATCCTACCGGGGAATCGAACCCAGGTCCTCTCGCTTGCGAGGTGAGTGCTCTAACCACTGGGCTACAGGATCCCCAAAACTCCTGCTCACCCCAGAGTTAAGCGCATCATATAAACATTTGCATCATTTGCAACCCCAACGAAACAAGGATAAGCAACACACCTCGGTCTCATCTTCTATTTGTGCTGCAGGCTCATTGTGACTTTCTCCAGCCACTTCTGTATTGACCTGTGTACGCAGACAAGAAAACTGAATCTACAAACGCATGACTATATAATATAACGAAATCAGCAAAATGGAAAACAAAGGGTCTTATATAAAAATTGAAGTTTATGACTATTACGAAAGGATTATACAAACAAATAAGGGAATTAGTTGTTAATAGAATTAAAGTAAATTAAACTAGACTAATGGTTTGAGCAGTTTTTATTGTAATGAACCCCTTCAGTCAGGTTTCCGTGCTGCCCATAGCACAGAAACTGCCCTGGTCAAGGTCACCAATGATATCCTGACCATCTGTGACCAGGGCTCCCTCTGTCTCCTCGTCCTCCTCGACCTATCGGCAGCATTCGATACGGTCGACCACGCTATCCTACTCCACCGCTTGTCCTCCCACCTCAACCTTCAAGGCACTGTCCTTGAATGGTTTAGGTCGTACCTTTCTCACCGTCTTCACTTTGTCTCGACGAATGGCTTCTCCTCCACCCCCCGCACTGTCTCATGTGGTGTCCCTCAGGGCTCTGTCCTCGGTCCCCTCCTCTTCACCCTCTATATGCTCCCCCTCGGTGACATCATCCGCAGACATGGAGTTAACTTCCACATGTATGCGGATGACACCCAACTCTACCTTTCCTCCTCTACTCTCAACTCCACGACCACCGATGTCCTGACAGCTGCCTGTCCGACATCGAGTCCTGGACGAGAGACAACTTTCTTCAGCTCAACGTGCGAAAAACCGAGGCCCTCCTGATTGGCTCACGTCAGCGCCTCCGCACCTCAGGCGCTGACACCATCAGCATCCAAGGCTGCACTCTCCACCTCTCAAAGCCAGTCAGGAACCTCGGCGTTTTGTTCGACCCTGAGCTGTCCTTTCTCCCTCACATCCGCACCACAACTGGCACCGCCTTCCATCACCTCCGGAACATCGCCAGACTACGGCATTACCTCACCCCTCACGCTGCTGAAACCCTGGTTCACGCCTTTGTCACCTCAAGGCTGGACTATGGGAACTCTCTCCTCGCCGGCCTTCCCGCCACCTCCCTCCACAAGCTGCAGGTCATTCAGAACTCTGCAGCTCGTGTACTGTCCCGCACCAGGCTTCGGGACCACATCACTCCCACCCTCGCTCGCCTCCACTGGCTCCCCATCCCCCAGAGGATTGATTTCAAGATCCTCATCCTCACCTACAAGGCCATTCACGGCCTTGCTCCCTCCTACCTCTCCAACCTACTATCCCCCTACCTACCTGCCCGTACCCTCCGTTCCTCTGGCTCCGGTCTGCTCCACGTCCCCCGCCCCAACCGCCCTACCATCGGTGGTCGGGCCTTCAGCCTCTCAGCCCCCAGGCTCTGGAACTCCATCCCCCAGTGCCTTCGCCGCTTCCTCCCTTTCCTCCTTCAAGGCCGGTCTCAAAACCTTTCTCTTTGACCGAGCCTTCAGCTCCCCTCTCGACTCTCTTCCCCTCCTCGCTCCCTCCCTTCCCTCCCCTCACCCTGACCATTTCCCCCCTCCTCGCTCCCTCCCTTCCCTCCCCTCACCCTGACCATTTCCCCCCTGCTCGGGTCATGACCCAACTGTGCAGCGCCTTGGGACGTCCTCCTGACGTGAAAGGCGCTTTATAAATGGAATCTTGTTGTTGTTGTTGTTGTAATATAGTTTGTACTATGACATGGTTCACAAGCTATTTCAATTTACAAATTATTTTTACGTAGCCATTGAGACTTTTCACATCCTCCCGACGTGAAAGGCACTCTATAAATGGAATCTTGTTGTTGTTGTTGAAAGCCCTATACGAATGTAATTTGTTGTTGTACTTTCTTGCAACTCATAACCAGAAATATATACATGACAACAATCACTACTTTTGAAAAATCTGCTTTTCACGTCTGTCTATATGTATGTGTGTATATTATATATATATAGTGCATTTTCACAGATTTACAACTCTTACATTACCTGGTTTATGTCCACAGGCTGCTCAGGCTGACTCGCGAGAGATGCTGCATACGGTGGTGGAGCCACGTGTGAGGTAGATGCTGCTGTCCCTGCGTGTGCAGTTGGTATAAAAGAATGCTGTTCAGATATATTCACCCTATAAATGGGAAAGTGCACATGACTGTTTGGAGCAGACTGGGGTTGTTGACCTAGGACCAGTTCCACGAGATCCGCCTTCTCTCTGCACATTTCCATTGAAATTTCATGTAATTGGAGGTAGTCTCGTAAATCTTTAACTTTAAGTTTCATTAGCTCGTCTCTCTGGAAGTCTGTGGCACGGAATCTCTGGCATGTGTGGCACATTTTCGGGCTGTTCTCAGGCTGAACAGAGCAGGTGGTACAGAAATTCTTCTTACAGTCTACACATACATGCTGCAAGGTGGAAGCAACATTAATAGTGTTAATATATATCATTCAATGCTTAGTCATACATTAATACCACTTCTGCTTGTTTTGTTACTTTAAAGATACAATACAAAATTACATTTGTGTATAGCCTTTCAAGTTTTAAAGGAATCTTAATTTTACATTAACTTCACAATTCCTATCTATATTATACATACTGTACAGATATAGCTTAGTTTGAATGAACCTGGTGTAATTTAGTTGAGCCAGCATATTTTGCATTATTAAGTCTGTACTAGGCATGCTTAAATAAATTTGAGTTGATTTAGAAGTTTAACCTGAGGGCTCACGAAAATGGGAATGTGATTCACTGTGGCAACTCCCACTTTGAAAACAAGACTATGGGTTTTGATGATTGCTTCAACAGTCGATGGAAGACTTTCAAAGAAAATGCAGTAATGGAAACTTGTGGGAGACAGAGAGAGACAAAGAAAAATAGAGAGAGAGAGGTGCGTATGTAGTAACAGCCGCCTTTAGTTAACTGTGATAAGCAACATTACCTTTAGCTTGGCTTTTTCACAGAAGTTCTCAGTTGATTCTCGGAAGTACATACTAGGTTAGCTGTTCAGCCTTACATATATAACAAAAGGCAGAAAAACAAAAATAAAAAGGCAAAGGGAAAAAGTTGGAAAAAAGACAGGATTAGGAATTATTTGAGATATAATCTGTAGCTACTTCCAGGAATATCCTTCAATCTTCTAAACCTTCATGATTGAAAATAAGGCTCGTGCAGCATTATTGTCAACTGGTCATTTGCACTACCATAGTTTTTAAATGGGCAGTTAAATAAATGGAAGGCAAAATGCTGCAGGAAATCTGAAATAAAAACAGAAGTCGCTGGGAACAAAAAGTTCATCGACCTGAAACCTTAAGTCATTTTCCTCTCTCCATAGATGCTGCCTGACCTGCTGAGTGTTCCCAACGACTTCTGTTTTAATTAAATAAATGACCTGCACCACTTTTACATCTTTTTGTATGGTGGTTCAACTTTATACAGAAATATTACTCTTCATAAAAGAAAACAACTGCCTTGGGAAATTGTATGCAAGATGATCGACAAATATGATCTCTAAAAACCACAATCTATTTATTTCCATTGTAATACCATTGAGCTAATCTATCCATTGTTTCTGCTAAAAGAATAAGGGTGGTGGGGGGGTGGGAAGGGACTCGATGGAACAACAAGTTTCAAAAATTCTTTAGGACTTGGATTTCTAACCCAGATCAGATTAATAGGATGAAGTCTTCTTTATAACCATTATTATAACCATTCTCAATGAAAATTATAACCATTCTCAATGAAACAGATGGGCCAGTCCTCAGCCCAGTTCCTAGATCAGCATAAAACTAATTTAGCTGGGAAACCGAAAAGTCACTCTAGTCTTGTTCATGGGGTTCCCAATTAAATTCAGACAAGCTCCACTTAGTTCATTCTTTGATCATACCAAGGTCTGGATAATAATAATACTTGCATTTAATATAGTGCCTTATCGTGTCGTTGCGGATATATTGTAAAGTGGATTGATGGTTGGTAGGTGGTTAAGTGGTCTCCCTTACCTCTGTGACCTCTTAACCCCCTACCAACCAATCGCTCCCTCCACTCAATGGGCTCCGGCCTGCTTCACGTTCCCCCGCCACACCCGTCCCACAATTGGTGAGCGGGCATTCAGCCTCTCTGCCCCTACCCTCTGGAACCCCATGCCAGTCCCTCCGCCTCGCCCCCTCCCTTGCCTCCATCGAGACCCTACTCTTCGACTCTTAAAACTAATGCAATTCTGCAATCACTTCTTTAAAAAACAGAAGCACCTCATGTCACAAGATTTGTGCGTGTGTCTGTGTCCCGTGACTTAACTAGTTTAAAAGATGAAAGAGTTGTTGTAAGGATAATTCAGAATGCTAGACTGGAACAACTATAGAAGTTGGGTCATAGGACGAAGGACTTGTACTCTTTGGAAGAAACACGGGATTGGTGGGCGTGAACCCAAAGAATTACCACACAGTTCTTTGTGGAAAGCTGACAGTTTGGCAACACAATTTGTATGGCTTTTGTGGTTTGATGCAGTATTAAAAGAAATATTATAGAAGGTATAAGGACATTTACCCAAGATTTCTAGATACCGGAACAAAATGCTTGCATTTACTTCCAAATAAAGATGTAGCGTAAGGCTTTTTAAAGATTATAGGATTGCCGTTACTGAATGCAATGAATAGATTTATCCATTTGGAGCTCTCAAGAGTGAGGTCATCTGAGATGTGGTCTACATTTGAGTGAAAAGATCTCCCTAGCGACAGGATAGAAAGAAGATGGTCAATGGACAGAATGCTAGAGTATTTTTTGCCCGGAGGGGAATCAACAGGGGGAACAGGAACAGATTACCAGGTAGGGTTTAAAAGGCTAGAAACTGGACTCATTTAAAAACAACTCCACATTGTAATGGGAAGGAAGACAGTAGCTTTGTTATTCTGGAGGATCAGATTAAATGGGCCTTTTAAATATCTTGAACTAAAACAAGATCAGTTCAATTACATTCTTGCCTTGAGCAGTGTGTGACCTTACCTTTCTTGATGCATTTTCAAATCTAGCACCACAAGCTCTGCAGGTGTGTTCAACTCCAGATGGAGATGGGTAAGAATTGTAGCCTGCGTTGGTGTATGCCTGCCTTCTAGAATTGTGTTCAGGTTCCTCCATGGTCTGGTTATCCACACAGAACCAGTTACAGCAGGAGGCCAACATTGTGATGCTGTCTGCAAGAGGGAAACATGGATTTGTTGATACATGATTAGACAAAAGTAAACATTTTTAATAAACATTTTCCACACTTTTTGTGAGGGCACATTTGCTTCTAACTTAAACTACAACACTTGAGGGGTTGATCCTCAAATTATTCTACATACAGTAGTTATCTGGTGCAACTTACTGTCAGATCTAGTGGGGAAAAAAATATTCTACTTCAGTTAACAGTTCAGTTGAAACTGAATTGCATCAGTGAGCATGGTGTTCGCCTCCACCTACAAATAGAAGCATATGCAAAGGTGTGTCTTATAGTACCATTACTGTTCACCTAGCTTCACAGCAAAGCAGGTTCCATGTTACAACGATATAAGATGAGTGATGTAACCGCACCCAAACTGGCATCAGTTCAAAATCCACTAGGGTCAGACCACTTGGAGGAGATTTCACACCATTTGGTTTCATTCCAAGTAGAGTACAACTTGAACCAAGTCTACTTATCAAAAGTTTATAAGGAGCACTGGACTGTGTATGGGTTTCTAATGTTGGAAAATAACTCTCTGTCCTGCCAGCTCACTTGTAAGAGAAATTATACTGGCAGCTGAACAAAATATCCTGGTCTATCCATGCAAACCCGATGGTAAAAAGAACTGCAGCATGTTGTACATTTTTTTACAGCACCTTTTAGCACATATCTATAAGTGATTAATTGTCTCCTCACTTACACCCTTTGATTAATTATCTGCCACCTGGCATTGTGTTACACTTCCACTGTTCTCCAAGCAACATGACATCAAATTGCAGATGTGGGAGACAAGGGTTCTTAGCACTGGTAAAAATGAATCTAAAGAAGCATGGATAAGCCACAGAGTAACTCCTCTAGTGTTAACAGTGGTACAAAACAACAAGAACAACAAATTACATTTGCATAGCATCTTTCACGTCAGGAGGACATTCCAAGGCACTGGACAGTCAGTGATCCGCACCGCATAAAAAGAATACAAGGAGGCGCAAGATACTGCAGGTTCAATTTTGATGCTTGATAGGGCATTTTTAGAAAACAATTACTGCACTGAAATGTGTATCTTTATTAGCAGTAAACTGGTACACCCCTCTTCACTCTCCATCCCCCATCCCGTCCACAGACGTTTACTTAAACAATATCAGAGATAAATAAGTATTTAACTCAGACACCTTGTAATATACCTGTTCCTCTACCCAATACGGAGCCTAAAACAAACATTACCTGTTAATTATTCTGCTCGTACAAATACTCACCTTACATTAATGCATTCAAGTGTTACTAGCATTCTATTTCGGCAACAGATCTTACTAAAGCCAATGAGCAAGGGGGAAAAGGGACAGAATGAAAAGGGACAGAATGCCACCAAAATGAGCCGTTACAATTCAGAAAGTAAGTGATCAGAATACTGCATTAGAGTCAAGTCAACAGATCTGTATCCATATTGATGCTTTTCAAATGAGAAATGGTCTACAATGGAGACATCTAAGTAAAATTTCTCATGTTCTAGTCTATTCAATTACAAGAAAAAAGATTGATTACGGAGTCCAATTTGTGCAATATTTAATTAAAACTGACCTGGGAAAAATGGCAATAATCAATAGAAGCCACAAGATCAAGCAGTTGGAAGTTTAAAAGTTGGATGAGACAGCAAGTTCATAGTCTGGACTGCAGCAAATCAAGAGAACAAGCCATTGTCGTAAAATGAATTCTCCTGCCCTGTTTCTAGTGAAGCAGATCACTATGCTGGACATGGTCTGCTAAACCAGATCATTATTCTGGGTACTAATTACACTTCTGGTTACAATTTTAACTTGTGTACATCATTCAGAATATCTAAAAGCAAACCCAGAAACACTTTTATGGACAGACTACACTTGTCGAACACATCACAGAACTAACCGTTGATTACACAAAGTTCTGCAAAAGCCTAAATTTATCTGGATTCAAGTTCTGTTTAATATACAAAGAGAACCACAGATAAAACACATGCACTTAGTTCAGTAAGATTATTTTTAAGGGAAATCGTGCATAATATAAACACAAAGGTTTCTGCTAGAAGACCAATAATAATAATCCTTGCTTTTTTTTAATATAATGCCTTATCACGTCTTTGAGATGTCTCAAAGCGCTTCATTGTAAAGTGAATTAACGGTATATTTTGTGGGTGAAACGTGGCATCCAATTGCGCACAGCAGTGTCTCACAAACAGTTGCGGATTGAGACTTTAGAAGACTTTCCTACCCTGGCTGAAACTTAAGTTGGATATTTAAGAAATGAAGTCAGTGACGGAGACCTTGATAAGCAGGTTTGTCCAAAATTAGAAGAATCAACTTTAAAACGTTAACTTACCAGGACGTGTAGGCTTCAACTATCCTTAAAGGCTAAATGACCATCTGGTTGGTCTGCTGTTCTAGCCATTTCGGATATCAGATAACAGTGATCTATTAGCTTAATAAGATCTTAAACATGCTGCATGTAAATACACAGCATACAGTAGTTTGGTACATTTATGAGAACCAACTACTGGATATTTAGCATATTTGCTGCTTTACATTGCTGGTTTATTGATAAGGGCTCATATATTACTGCTAGCCTCCATTGAAAATCCCCAGGAAAATAACTTGCAACTTTCAAAGATTTGTCTCTATGCAGTTCTTTCAAAGTAGATCCAACTGCTATTGGAACTGCCCTGAAAAACAGATTATTTCCACAGGAATGCAAGACAGCTGCTACTACAGGAACAGTTCTGCAATAAAGTTGCAGCATCAGATTACAAGAAAGTACACAAGCTTTCAAGATCATGTATATTCACCATACAAGCTATGGAAATGAACATCAAGTGGTTTGAGTCCAGGCCTCAAACACCTTTCTTGGAGAACTCTTCCTGCTGTTGATTAGTCTCAGTTTCAAGATCAAGAAATTCTGTGTGGTGCCTGTTCTAAAATTGCTCTTCACAAACCTGAATCTGTCGCCTCTTATCCCATTCCAAGTTTATCTTCTCTATCCCATTTCTTATACACATCTATAAAAATCATTTTAAGATCATCACATCTAGATCATTAAACATAGCCTCAGCAGCTTCTTAACTAAAATAAATCATTCATTTGGTTTATCATAATAATAATCCTTGCATTTGATATAGCACTTTTCATGTCTTCTAGATGTCTCAAAGCGCTTCACAGAATAGACTGTAAAGTGAATTGACTGTATATTTGTGGGCAAAATGCTCATTTGGTAATTGATTCAATAACTGTATTATGACTCAATCCCTTCTTATTCTCTTTAGATTTGTAACCAAAATGATGGTATTGTAGTCTAGAAAGCCTATGGGTCCACTTGGGTCTGTATAAAGACCATCTGACAATTTGCTATTCAATGTCTCATAAGATATGAGACATATTGCATAGCTGCACCATAATCACAATTTTACCTTCTAGCTTACATTGCATGTTTCATGACAACTTGCAGTAAAAACAGAGTAAGTAAAAAGGGACTCGTCAAGGAGGTGGTTTTACCAGGATATCAGTGAAAGGCAGGCATTGTGAATTGATTTAGCCTTCACTCAAAATGGCCTGTTAAAAGATCTTGGATTGTCCATTGGACCATTTTTAATGCTGTTGAAGAGTCAGTTGCACAATTCTTTCTTTAATTAAAAACTCGCCCACAAAATATACAATCAATTCACTTCACAGTATATTCTGTGAAGCGCTTTGAGACGTGTCGAAGACATGATAAGGCGCTATATCAAATGCAAGGATTATTATTATTTCCACTTTATTATCTGTCATCCAGCAGATAAAATGCACTTGAACCACTCAATATTTGGTAATGCAGAATCGTTTTCAATTCACTTGTACAAAATAATTACCCTTGTTGAATCTGAATTCCAATGGCTCTTTCAGGAAGGGAGGAACAAAGTCACAAAGAACCTATGTGATTGCAGACCTGGTTACTCACTGTAAACACAGTTTTGGATGACATTGGCATGAGCCTCAATGTGTTGCTCAATGCAGTAATAGGAAACAGTGAGTGATCAATTTTTGCTGGGCAACAATGAAAAAGCAGAGGCCAGGTGGTCCTCAGAGACAATGAAACGCAAAAACAATCACCTGAGATGCTCGTACACAGCACCTGCTCTCACATCATGCCCGTACAACATTTGGCCAGGGATGAATATGACACAGGGAGGGGTATGACACAGGGAGATCCGCGAGACAGTGCTTTGAAATAATAAAAATGTGTCTTTTAAAAAAAAACAAATGTCAGCTAAAAGGGACTTGAAGACAATAGGCCACATCCAATACGTAAATCCCAACAAAATGTAGCTGAACCAGTTTGAAATGTCAGTTGGATTTTTATAGCATTCGGATTACCAAATTTATTTGCAGAGCTCGAGTTTATGTTGGATTTTAACCTAATATAATAATAGTAGATTATATCTACCAGCATTTGTAACTTTTATTTTTTATTAAGATTATTACACTAGGAGCACTTGCAGGAGTTAAGAGGTGATCTGATTGCGGTGTGTGAAATAATAAAGGGAATGACAAAATAGACAAGGAATGACTCTTCCCTTGAAAGGTAACCCAGAAAGTGGGGACACAATGATAACATTAAAGGTAACATGATTAAATTGAATCCAAACAAAGTAACTAAACAAACTTGTTGTTCACACTTCTAATTTTATACTTTAGATCACATTTAATACTAATCAAGCTATTTTGTTTAGAATACAACTTTTTGTGATTCAACTGACTTCCTTATCCCAACCCAGGTATCATGATGGGTGGCAATTAGATAGATACAGTTTCTCAGATGGGCAAAAATTCAACTTGGAATTTGAATTTGTCACCCCATGTTTGCACCACTTATTACCAGTCGCATTTCTTCATAGCTATTTTCTACGTTTGTGTTCTGTAAATTGGAATTTTAAAACTGGAAACTAGGATCAGAGTAACTAATCTAGAATTTAAAGGTCACTGAAAATGA